TGATGGATGCTTTTTCCAATTTGCTGGAAGGTAGAGGTTTCAAAGGTATCACTAATGGTAATTTTTCTCTCAACCACCTGTTATATGCTGATGACGTTTTGATTTTTGGTGAGGCTACTACTGAAAACTGCACTATTCTTGCTAATGCTATTACTGATTTTGCCAATTCCTCTGGTCTCTTCATTAATCGTGAAAAATGTTCCATTATGTTTCCAAAGCACATGAGGAATCAACTAGAGGTGTGTCAAACGCTTTCTATTCACTCCATTGTTAACAGGATAACATATTTGGGGATTCCTCTTTCCTTTTATAGGCTTAATGTTGCAGATTTTTTGCCTTTGCTTGATAGTTTAAACAAGAAACTTAATGGTTGGAAAGCAAATCTTCTCTCTTTTGCGGGTAGGCTTCAATACCTCAAATTTACCATTCAAAACACTATTGCCTACTAGATTAGAGGTTCTATTATACCTAAATCTGTGCACAAGGTTTTTAAAAAACTCAGCTCTAGATTCCTGTTTTTTGGTGAAGTCAATTCGGTTAAGAAGCTTTATATGGTCTCTTGGGATAAAATTTGCTTGCCTAAAGAGAAAGGGGGATTGGGGATACACTCTCTTAACGCTTTGTAATATGCCTTCAACTGTACTGTTATTAGTAAGATGTATAATAATGTATCTCCTTTACCTTGCTGGTTGTTAGCTAAGTACTTCTCCCCATGGAAGCCTCCGCATAGTTCTGCTTCCAAGATGTGGAAATCCATTTGTAAAACAGCTGAATCTGTGAAAAGATGCTTTCAGTTTTCTATCTTTCCTAACTGTCCCATATCCTTAAAATGGGATCACTGGTGCCTTAACTCCACGCTGGGCAGTATTGCTGGTTTGGTTGACAATACTGGATTGCCGGACATTAGGCTAGCTGATATTATTTCTGAGAATGGCTGGGAGATCTCTGGTATTATTCACTCGTCGTTGCATCAGTTTTTTGAGAGGGTGAAAATTGTGAATTGAGTGGGGCCTTGCTTGCTTTGGAATAACAGGAATTGCTTTCACTTTAACTTATTTATTAAAGATTTTTACTCTGACTATCCGGATTGCCATTGGTATAAAATGGTTTGGCACAAAAAGTACATTCTTAAACATTCTGTTTTTGTTTGGTTGGCATTAAGGGATGGTTTAAAAACTGAGGCTGCTCTCAGGATTAGGCAAAGTTTTGTTCCCATCACTTGCAGTTTATGCCATATGGGTGCTAAATCTGTTGCTCACCTCTTTTTTGAATGCACTTACTCTTTCTACATTCTAAAAAGTCTTATACATGGGATAGATATCTTTCTTTTAAGACCGTCGATTCTGTAATTGTTTGAATGGATGAATGGTGAATTTGGTACAAATGCGAATATTTTGAATTTTTACAAGCTGGCGGTTTGTTGTATTATCTACTACACCTGGAAAGAAAGAAACGGAAGGAGGTTTGGTGGAATTTCTCACTATTCCACCACTGTGCTGTTGAATATCAAACGTGTAATATTTGAGAAGGTGATGAATTGGAAGTGTGCTAATGATCTGTTGGATTATCTTTAAGCAGCTGGTTTTTAACGGGTCCCGCGTTCATTGGATGGTTATGGCCTGGTGGTTTTGGTTTATTAGCCAGGACTATGATGAAGCTCCATATTGTTGCACGACAAAATACCACCCCTTGGATGGCCTTCGGGCAACCAGGGGTTCAGCCCCTCTCATAAGTTTTGAGTCCTGGTTAATTAGTTCTGGAGCTAATTTCTGTTGGTTCTAATCTATTATTACTGTTATTGTGTGGCTTCTATTCTGTCATTACAAATGCTCCAGGCCTTCTCTTCGCACTGCTGATGGTTTTGAGCTTCTGGTTGCTGGATACAGATGCTTTTTGGCTCCTTTGGGGCGGTTCCATTGTTCTGATCTGCTTCTCTTTGTTTTGCTTATAAGTTTAGAAATGTTTTCCCTTTTCTTACATGTAATTTTGGCTATAAGGGTGGTATAGTTGGGGTTTTTTCTTCCTTCTTCTACATGAGGTTTTGTTATTACTTATGTAGAATTCTCTTCTTGTATTCACCTTTTATATGTAACCTTTTTGTTATTTAATAGATGGGCTTAGGCCCCAATTATTCCCAAAAAAAAAAAAAAAAACTTAGGAAAAGACTCAAACAAGTTAGAATTAAGTACTAATTAAATTTATCCTAAATTATATCTATATCAAATGTGCATATTGACGCATCATAGCAAACTAGTATTTTAAGTATTTTTTAGGGTGGATAAATTTATTACACAAATAATTACATGTAAAAAATAAAAATAAAAAACATGTAAAACAAAATCTAAAAATTATCCCATTCTTATGTAAAAATAAATTTTGAGGGCAAAATCTCAAAAATTATCTCCCTCATATGTAAAAGTTTTAAAATTAAAGATAAACCCTCACCCTCTACTTTATTAAGTGATAAAAAAAAAGAGAAAATAACGAAAGAATATTCTCATAATTTTTCTCTCTACTTTTATTATATGAAAGCAAAATCATATCATGCATGTGAAGATCAAATGCCTAAGACAATTTGAGCTTCTAAGAAAGAGCTGCCTTTCCTCTTCAATTATTGATTGAGTCGTTCTTCACAGAGACAGAGGTAAGTTCCTTCTCCTCTGCAATTTTATCATCATCTAATTTTGATATTATAGACTGTCTGCATAGACCTCATCAGATCAAATACTTGAGAAATTTGGAGCTTTGATGAGCTGCTTTCCCTGCTTAATTATTTATTTATTGCTCCTTCTCTATAGAAGTAATTAGTTCTTTCAGCTTGGCGTTAAGTTGTACTTTTGTTCTCATATACTAGTTCTTCTATGCTACTGTGAGTATGAATTGTGATTTGATTGTTTTTGGACTTCAATACTCATTTGTGATTTTAAATTGTTTTTAAACAATTTTTATTTCATGAATCTCTCGCAACTCTCCTTCTAAAATAATGGAAGATTATATCTTACCATACGATTTAATGATGCATGATAGGGATATTTGATTCTAATCTTTGGACGAAGCCATGGCAGATATTATTGCCATGTTCGGCAGATGGGCGAAGTCAGGGTTGTCGGCTCTTTTAGATGGGTCTTCATCTTCATCTTCATCGTCATCAGTGGAACCTACACGAGGCAATGCTTTAGATGACTTCCAGAGGATAATGCGAATGCTGCCGAGGATCGAAGCAGTGCTTGAAGATGCAGAGGAAAGGGAGATACAAGATAGATCTGTGAAGTTATGGCTTTCAGAGCTTAGGTGCTTGGCTTATGACATTGATGATGTAATCGATGAGTATGAGTATGATGTGCAGACAGCCCAGATGGGAGCCAGAGCTGTAGAAGAGTCCTACCATCATGGCAAGCACAAGCGAGGCGATGATGAACGTTATGGTCAGAGTGAGCACGTGGAAGGTCTTAATACATTAGCATCCTCATCTTATCAAGTTCCAGCAATTTCTGATGGCATGGTTGAGAAGCTGAGGGAGATTCGGGAAAGATTCGATGAGATAGAAAGGGATCAAAAGGGACTCCGTTTAAGAGAGGACGATGGCGTGAGGCGAACTGTTAGTGCACAAAATTATCGGCTTACTAGCTCTCTCGTCGATGAATCAAATATAATCGGGAGAGAGAGTGAGAAAGAGAAGATAGTGAAGTTATTGCTCTCAGACTTACACGTGAGCAATAAAATTACAGTCATCCCAGTAGTTGGCATGGGAGGTGTGGGGAAGACAACGCTGGCCCAACTCATTTATAATGATCCTAGAATTCGTCTGTATTTTGATCTCCGTATATGGATTTATGTTTCTGAGGATTTTGATCTTGTGAAATTAACCAAAGAGATATATAGATCCATAACTAACAAATCATGTGAAGAGCATGTTAGATTTGATTATCTTCAAGATTCCATTAAAAAAGAACTGATGAAATTTAAAAGAACATTTTTTGTGTTGGATGATGTGTGGAATGAGAAGCAATTTCTCTGGGAGTCCCTAAAAGTCCCATTTCACAATGCAGGCATTGTGAATATTTTGTTGACAACAAGAAATGAAAAGGTTGCAGATGTCATGCGAACTATGAACTACTTTCGTTTGGGCTTTCTTTCCCAACATGAAGGTTGGAGATTATTCAATCAATATGCTTTATGTGGTGATGAGAACCTGATGAGGATTGGCCAAAAAATTGTAAACAAATGTGGTGGATTACCTTTGGCTATAAAACTACTTGGAAGCCATCTTCGATTTGAAAGAGATGAAGATAAGTGGATGAGTATCTTAGAAAGCGAGCTTTGGGACTTGGATCCAGGAACAAATGAAATTTTTCCTGCTCTTAAACTGAGTTATCAAAGGATGCCGATTCACTTGAAGCCATGCTTTAGGTATTGTTCTTTATTTCCTAAAAAGAATATTCCTAATAAAAAACGCATTGTATGGTTGTGGATGGCACAGGGCTATATCCAACCAAAAATAAGAGGCAAGACTATGGAGGAGATTGGTAGAGAGTATTTTGATGAACTCTTGGGGAGATCGTTCTTTCAAGCAACAAAATCTACATACTATTTTAAGATGCATGACTTGATTTATGATTTGGCAGTTTTTAGGCATGTTTATTTCCATTCTATATTTTATTATGGCAAGAGGATAATCAATGATTTTCAGCTTTTGGATTCAACACGCTTGCGAGTACTACATATTGAAATCGATCAATTTGATTCAAAGACTTCAAGGTTTTCTGGTTCAATTGCCTCAATGAAGCATTTGCGCTATCTTTACATTCATACTAATGGAATAGATTTGAGTCCTCTTAGGGGAAAAGTTTTGTTTTCAAGCTTATTCAATTTTTTACATAGTATTTATAATGTGCAAGTGTTGGACTTGTCTGGTAGTGATGAACCTATAATGTTACCAGCAAGCATAAAAAATCTATTCAACCTTCGACATTTGATTCTACCATATGGTTCTGTCATGCCATGTGGTATAAGCAAGTTAACTTGTCTCCAAACATTAAGAACTGTAGTTGTAAAGGATGGAAATCACGAAGGTGGTGGACTAGGTGAGATACAAGACTTAGCAAGCCTTACAGGGAGTTGTTGTATAAAAAATATAGGTTATACAAATAATGTTGAGGATTTCAAGAAGGCAAATATTAATGGGAAGAAGCAAATTAGGAGACTATTCATATATTGGGATGAATCGTTGATTCCTTATAATGTTTCATTAATTGATGTTCACATTTATTTTGATGCAAAGAATCAAGTAGAGAAACAAAGTTTTGAGTTGGAAGAGGCAAAGCTTGAGGCATTGCAGCCTCACAACAACCTCAAAGAATTAGGGATATATGATTACCTGGGATAATACTCCCATCGTGGCTTGGTGATCCTTCGTACTCTAAGTTACAAGATATGACCCTTGATGGATGTCATAATTGGGATGGATCAGGTAGAGCGCTGGATAGAGATCTCCCATGTATTCAAAGTATTTTCATCATGAATTGTGCTATGTTAAAAAATATAAAAATAGTGCAGTCATCCTCACTTAGAAGACTATTTGTTCAATTCTGCCCAAAAATAACATCATTGCATGGGCTATGTAGTCTGCATAGACTTGAAAAGTTAGAAATAAGGGAGTGTTATAATCTATTGATCTATGCGGAGGAGATACTTCCTTCTAAGTTGCAATTTGTATGTTTCGAAGATTGCTTTAAGTTGACATCAATACCAGGCTTGCAAAACCTTCGTTCACTTAAGGAATTGAAGCTAAATAGATGCTGGAAACTTGAACTCACTTTGGAAGAAAAGCTTTCAACCATGCCTAGTACTTTGGAGATTGTTGATTGCCCTCGATTGGAAAAGTGGTGCCAAAGATATGGATTCAAATATATTAAGGTATGCTTAATCAGTCCTCAAATTCTTTACTTTTCTTTTGATTATCATTAAAATTGTTCAAGTAGAGAGCTCAGAAAAAATGCCGATCCACTTTGTCACATCACATGTCATGAATGCTATTACTTTATAATAAAGCCTTCTCTAATTGTATATATAGAAGTGCATTATTTATAAGTTATAACCAAGTAGAAGTAGTGGAATTATTTCCAAGTTATATTCATCACCTAAAAATTATTGCATCATTCTCTTATGAACTGGTATTAACATATCTTAATTATATGTGCATTTTTTTTTGTAGAATGTATTGATTAGGCTTAATCTAACATTATACCTTGATTGATACAAAGTCCTTCACAATATGCTAGTCTATAAGTTTAGAATATTAATATAAATATTGCAAGTGACAATTATACAATGACTAATCTTATATTATTTTTTGTTGAGTCGACACAGCTTTTTCAGAGCCAGACTGGCGTTGATGAAGAATCCTCTGTAGGATCAATTGATTATTCCGACTATCACATATGGTCACTGTTGAAAAGCGAAATGTATAAGGAGTGAGTTTATGGATTAGGCTCTCAGGTTTACAAAATCGAGGGACAGTGCTTTGCTTGCTCAAGCTTCTCAGCAAGCACTTGGGAGGGCATGGTAAGCCAACAAGTTGCTACCCGGAAACCAGCCCTAGAGCATATCCAAAAATCACAAGCGGACATGCAAATGTATTATACTTAGATTATGGAGATGCTTTAGAGGATGAGGGAGCAGTTCAATGGAAAACAACCTGCAGTAACAGAGGAGAGCGAGGATATAGAATATAAGTTGATTTTTTGTGATTATAATTAATTTGTGTTGTTGCTATTTGAATGTATAAGAAACTCTATGATTTATTGCATGAGTGTTTGATAATTGTATAACTGTTGAATTTTTGTACTTTTTAAGAATATTTTTCTACAATGTTGAAATATTAGCTTATCTAAACTGTTGTGAGTATTTCTTATTACTTATATATTGTATTGTAGAATAACTAATACAAGGGGTTGTTTCTTTTTATCTATGCTAGAGATTTCCAGCGGATTTTCATCTTATATTCTGCTGAAAACGTTGATATGATGCTCTGGACATTTGATCACTAACGGAGTCGTCTCATCCGTTCAAACACAAGTCATCACACCCTCACACCAGTAGCTCTTTCTATGTGGGTGCAATTCCATTATACTCTTAATTTCTACATGGTAGCAGTGCAGTAGAAGCTTAATAGCTCACATCCTCACACCAGTTGCTCTCTTCCCACTCGGCGCCAAGAAAACAATTTCTACGTGGATATACTTGCAAACATCATTTGGATTACCATCAAATTCGACTCAATCCAAGCCCAAATGGGTCCAAATCAAATACTCAAAGCATTTTTGCAGGGTTCAAAGCATAATTTGGATTACCAAACAAATTCCAAACGTGACATGCTTATAGTGAAATCAAGCGGCTCGATGAGACGAATCCAACAAATGTAAGATTGCCAAATTTGATATTATTAAGACATTCAAATGATGAATAAACGGTCCATGATCAAAGTGATCAATATCGCCGTCCATTCAACCCACTCTCATCTTGACCTTGATACTCCCCATATTGGGGAGCTTACTTGCCGCCGACAACTGCCGGATTTCTTCACGAGGACTTCCATCCATTCGTCGACCAACGTCGGACTTGCGCCTATTTGTCGTCCATCGCATGACTTCTTCCCGAACACCACCAAACTTCTGCCCCTTTGTCGACCATTATTGGAGTTTTTCCTGCCCACCATCGGACTTCCGCTCGTTCGTCAACTACCACCTGATTTCTTCCCAACCACTGTCGAACTTTCGCTTGTTCGTCGACCACCGTCGATTTTCCGCCTGTTCGTCGAACACCGCCAGAGTTCTTTTCGACCATGGACGTACTTCTGCTTGTTCGTCGACCACCGACGTACTCTCTTGTTCGTGGATCACCCTTAAAATTCCTCATGTTTGTCAACCACCAGTGGAGTTTTTCCTAAACCACTCAAGACCCCTTTGGAAAAGGTTTTTCATTGCAAGACGGACTAATTTTATCAGTCTTTACCTTCCCGTGTGTGACTTCAGCAAGGGCAAGTTTTAGTAGTGGTGGAAAAGGGTCTCTAATGGCGTCCAGCAGGCCCAAGTACTTAAGAGTGTTTTGAAAATGTATGTATTTCAGGAATTTAGAAAAAAAATATAATTTGAATTATTTGTTTCGTTGTAAGATAAATATAATAATTTATTTTCTTAAATGTTTAGTTGATTATAAAATAAAAAATGAAACGCCTCCATGTTGAAAATGTGGAAGGTTGAGGAGCCAAGGTGCATATTAATACTTGAACAAAGTTCTCTCCAAAATATAAAATTGTATATGCATATTAATTTTATTTTTTATTAAAAAAAAGAAAATAAATAAACATTTTTTCAATAATGTTGACCTACACACGAGGTTAAAAAAAAATCCTCCAAAATCCAGCGTAAACCCCATGTACCTATTCGACTCCGTTTGCATCTCTTTGCTCAAATCCTGCGCAAATCCCTTCTTTGCCTTCATTGATAAAACGAGAGCTAAATAGCCCTCTAGTTTTTTGCTTCTCCCTTGCGCGCGAGCTCCCCAGTCATCTGATCTCCCTCTCCCTCGTTTGTGTCTTCCGAGTCGAGTGAGCCCTCTAATGCAGTCGAAATCCTCAACCAATCCGAACTACAGCCGACCTCCACCTGCTCGCAAACTTCACCCTGTCCGATCTCTACTTTGCGCAAGTTGCAAGACTCACGTCTACCTTCGATCCATCCTCCTTTCACTATGTAGACTTCCACCTTGCCTACACTACCTCCACGCTCCAACTGCGAGAAGATCCATCTTCACTATGCCGATTTCCACAATGCCAATTTCTGATTTATCGCTCGCCCCATCATCTGCTTTAAGTGCAAGATGATGAAATTTTTAATTTTAAATATTAAAATTTTCAAATACCAAATTATGCTGCTACTATACGCCATATGCATGCTGAGTATCTCATTGACAACTGGCCTTAATCAAAAGAACTTTCTTGTTATAGGGAGGGGTAATTAATTATAGGGGCTTGTGCCTATAGGAAACAAGAACTCAGATATAAAATCCTCACAAAATGAGGGTGGAATCTCTAGGTAGTGTCTTATTTCTAACTCAATCTACCTTCTGAAAATTTATCCAGGAGCTTGATATGTTAAAACTCTCGAGAAAGAGGGGAGGCCAAATGATTTGTCCGATTGATCAAATTTTCGTTTTATTTATAAGACATATCATTCTAAAAAAAATTATGAATGGAAGTAAAAATAATATAGAGTATTCTCAGAAATTTTACTGTCCTTATCCTGACACCTACTAAATATTCTCTTCTTCCTATCCCCTGCTTTTACTGTCCTTATCCTGCTTTTACTTTATGAAAGCAAACTCATATCATGCGTGTGAGAGATCATGCATGTGAGAGATCAAATGCCTGAGGTAATATGAGCTTGTAAGAAAGAGCTGCCTTTCATCTTCAATTATTGATTGAGTGGTTCTTCACAGATTGAGAGAGGTAAGTTCCTTCACCATAGATATTTCTTGCTCATCTAATTTTGTGACAGTACAGTCGTTTGAGTATACTTAAATTTGTTTCCTCGATTCTGATTTCTCGATTAGAGCAAGAAGAAGATCTTTGTTTTTTCTCTGAATTTTAATTTATCAGTTAATTAATTTTGTATCTTAAATATAGTTTTAATTTTGGTCTTATAGACTGAGACTATGGGTTCGTTTGGGACGGCTTTTTTATTGCTTTCTAAAACAAAGTTTTAGTACAAATTTTTTTATTTTTGTACTAAAACTCCATTTTAGAAAGCAATAAAAAAGCCGTCCCAAACGAAGCCTATATCAGATCAAATACTTGAGAAAAATGGAGCTTTGAAGAGCTGCCTTCCCTGCTCAGGTATTTATTTATTGCTCCTTATCAATTATTTTTTGGTTTTTGTCCTTCATGATGTAATGGCTCCTGCACAGATGAAGCTTAGCAAACAGTGAAACGATAAAATAGGGAAGAAGATGAAACTTCTGTAATTCTATATTCAAGACTAAAAACTCCTTTCTCCTTTTCCTAACACATATATTTTCAGTAATAACACCTATACTAATATTAGACTTAACGGATAACACTATACTTGAGCAGCATGTAACTAAAAACGGGAAAAAGCAGATAAAAGGATAAACGGAGCAGGGTAGTGCAGTCGTTGCCTATCCCTGAGTGGAAATGGGAGGAGGTAACGATGGATTTTGCGATGGGTTTTCCTCGATCACGACAAGGACATGATGCCATTTGGGTGGTTGTAGATCGATTGACGAAGTCAGCCCATTTTCTTCCGATCAGACAGACGGATTCAGTTGATCGCTTGGCACAGATTTATGTGAAGGAAATAGTCAGATTGCACGGTGTGCCTCGTGTGATCGTATCTGATCGAGATGGACGCTTTACTTCCAGACTTTGGAAAGGCATTCAGCAAGGCTTGGGTACGAAACTGCATTTCAGTACAGCCTTTCATCCTCAGACCGACGGACAGTCTGAGAGGACGATTCAGGTACTGGAAGATCTGTTGAGGCTTTGTGTTCTGGACTTTAGCGGAAGTTGGGAGGATCATATTCCGCTGATTGAGTTTGCCTATAACAACAGTTTTCAGTCCAGTATCGGTATGGCACCGTACGAGGCTTTGTATGGCAGGAAGTGTCGTACTCCTTTGACTCTGACGGAGGTCGGAGATAGACAGGCTTTGGGGGCCACTTTTGCTGATGAAACTGCTCAGAAGATCAATTTGATAAGAGAAAGATTGAAAGCCGCTCAAGATCGTCAGCAGAAGTATTACAATCAGAAGCACAGATTTGTTGAGTTTCAGGTCGGTGACTTTGTGTATGTCAAAGTCAGCCCGATGAAAGGTGTGAGCAGATTTGGTCAGGTGAGTAAGCTTAGTCCAAGGTATGTTGGACCATTTGAGATTTTGGAAAGAATTGGAAAATCTGCTTATCGCCTATTGCTTTCTGATTCTATGCCTGACGTGCATAATGTGTTTCACGTATCCACTCTGAGGAAGTGGGTTTCAGACTCTGGGAAGAAGTTGTCAGCTGATGAGGTGGAGATTCAGGAGAATCTGGCGTACAAGGAAGAGCCAGAGCTTATTTTGGCGTACGACGTCCGAAAGTTAAGAAATAAAGAGATTCCGATGGTTAAAGTCCAGTGGAAGCACCGGACTGCACGGGAAGCAACTTGGGAGAAGGAGTCTGATATGAGACGGTCGTACCCGTACTTGTTTTGACGGAGGTTGGATTGGATAATGTCGAGGACGACATTTTTTTTTAAGTTGGGGAGATTGTAATATCAGTTTTTGCTCCAGGTTCGTCCGGGACGAAGTTGGATCGTCCGGGACGATCGGTACAGGTTGTGCAGAAAATCAGTTTTGGCTGTATGGTTCGTCTGGACGAAATCAGGATCGTCTGGACGAAAATTCTCCCGTGAACCCTTCGCCAGGGACGATATGTCATTTTTCGTCTGGACGGAATTCCTCTCTTCATGGATCGTCCGGTACGAAGCTCGATCGTCCAGGACGATCAGTCTGGATATATATAGAAATGAGATATTTTGAAGAGAGAGAAAAAGCTGAGGAGAGAGAAAAACGAAGGAAAAAGTGGAAAAGTTGATTTTCGGACGACGCGGAGCCGTTTTCGCCCGAAGTGGCTGTTGAGGAAATTGCTGTGCTCGAGGTAAGGCACATTCCGCCTTTCTCAATTTTCAGAACCGTCGTGTTTGGCGGTATATTCTGTCCGGATTTCGTTTTCGTTAATGATTTTTGTCTGTATCTGTTGATTGACTCAGTTTTTACCGCGTAACTTTTTGGATATCGTTGCCGTGCCGGGTGTGCACGTTTTGACTATATTTTGAAGATTTTCGTCCGGGTATTTTTGATTCGACTGTGTTTTTAGTCGACCAGATTTTTCTGTGAAATTGGAATTTATCTGTGCAGTAGAATAAATGTTCTGAAATGTTGATATCTGTATTCTGTGCGAATTCGGTAAATTTTCTTTGCAGGAATTTTTGTGTAAATTCCGTATACTGCCGTTGTGCTGCCCGATTTTTTGGGTAATTTCTGAATTGTCCGTATTTCTTCTGAATTGAAATGCTATGTGTATAAGCTATAAAAAGGGAGTTATAAGGGGCCTGAATCCTATGAGATTCAGTTAGTGAAACGGGAAATCTGAAATGAGCTCAAATCTGAAATTCTGAAATCAGTTCTGTTCCGGATCCGATGAATTCTGTTTTGGTGCTATAAGCACATCTGTTTTGGTGCCGTGAGCACAAAGGGAGACATAAGGGGCCTGGATCCTATGAGATTCAGTCAGTGTCTGGGAAGGGAGGCATAAGGGGCCGGAATCCATAGAGATTCCGTCAGTGTCAGGGCATTTAGCTATATGTATCTGTACTATTTTCTGTATCTGTTCTGTTCTGTACGAAATTGTGATTATGATATGATATGATCCGTACGATTCTGATTTCTGATTCTGTTCTGATACGATCTGTACGACTCTGATGTGATTTGATACCTGTCCGTAAGTTTTGATTTCCAATTCTGTTCCGATTTCTGATCTGATTTCTGTCCGATGAATTTGGTTCTGTTTTCTGAGAATTTAGATTGGTGGTTTGTTGCTTTGCTGAGCTGTTGAGCTCACCCTTGCTTTCTGGTGGTTTTCAGGTTCTGGGAAGGGCAAGGAAGTTCAGGACTAGGTTTCAGAGTCTGATCAGATTAGGTACTTTTGTACTTTTGATTTTTGTACAGTCATGGCTTTTCTGTTCTGTCTTTCTTTCTGTTGAAAGCCATGTACTGTTCTGTAGATGATTATTTTGAGGAAATGAAAAGATAGATGTTTTGTTCCGCTGCATTTGATGTTTTTAGTAGCTCTGTTGTTCTGTGTGCTTCTGTGAGTTAAGAATTTGGAAGATCAGTTCAGTAACCTAATCCAAAGCCAGATCCTGGTTAAGAAAGGTCTCTCGTCGCGATCCGGCTCGGGCGGGATCCGTCCCCGTCGGGTCGGGTCGTGACAAGAGTGGTGCCAAAAATATGGATTCAGAGTTACTCTGGTATGCTTCATCACACAATTTTTTTTTTTTTCTTTTCTTATGATTATCATTGCATGTACTATGATAATAAATAGGAGGGGAATATAAAAAAGAAAACTGATCAGGATAGCTTACTTAAATTCAAATATTTTTTTAACATAACTCGTATACATGCACATCATCTATTCATAAAATCTCAGATTATTTGTTCGCTTCATTTTAAATAAGGATATATTTTGTTGCTTTACTACAACAGGAATTATCAAAGATCAAGGAGTTGACTGTACGAAGCATAAGTGCTGTAATATCATATTATGGTTCAGGGAACCTCGTCTCCTTAAAAACTCTAAATATGCTTGAGTGTAGTGAAAGTGATTTCCCCAAAAATGAATGGATTCCATGCAGTGTGTATACCTTGCATCTTAATTCATGTCAACATGTGAAGTTCCTTCCATCGTATCAAAATCTGTCCGCACTGAGGTTGCTGAAAATCTGGCGTTGCAAAGCTTTGACATGCTTGCCTGGATTAGAGATGATGAAATCCCTTGAAAACTTAGAGATAATAGAGTGTCCTCAATTCACGATGTCACCAGATCACAATTTGCCATCCAAGCTTCGTTTATTGCTCATAAGCGACTGCCCAGCTCTTTTGTGCTTGCCTGGGCTCCAACAACTTTTCTCCCTTCAATACCTGAAGTTATATGCGTGTTCTGAGCTTATGCTCCCACCACCGGAACAACTTCCTTTTATGCTTCATGTTCAGCTACAGCTTTTTAATTGTCCAAAGCTGATAGATTGGTGTCAAAAATATAACCTACGCTATAACAATGAGGTCAGTAAGTTATTACAACTACTGCACGTACGTTCACTTTAAATAATCTGGTTTCTTAATTTGTCAAACTGTAGTTGTTACTAATCCATTTTAATTCTGAACCAGGAATCATCCAAAGAACTATTTGTTAGGAGCAATGAGCAGATGAAGTTATGGCTAGAGGAAGTATCTGTACTCTTTGAAAACATATGTGTTTTGGACTACGATGGGGCAATTCTTGAAACAGAAAAATGGCCTGCTTTTCAACTTGTGGGCATTTACTTTTGCTCCTGTGTTCATTTGAAGTCTCTCTCATTGATGAAAAACTTCACTAGACTAAAGCAACTGAGGATATGGGATTGCTCCCATCTCGAAGAGCTTTTTGGGCTAGACAGGGTCGCCACTCTGCAAGACATAGATATAAGCAACTGTCCAAACTTCCATTTTATTAGTCGCTTTCCCAAAAGCCTTCAGTCCTTGGCGATTGATAGATGCAACAAGCTCCGCTCTTTGGACTGTAAGGAAATGAATCTATCTTCACTTGAGATTTCTAGTTGCTCAACTCTGAAATTTATAAATGAACTACGACTGAGCCAAGCATCTCTTTGTTTCTTAAAAATAAGCAATTGTCCTGAACTCTATATCCATGATGAGTTGCTGCATATGTTGAATCCCAACAATGTCGAAATCAGTGCATGCCCACAACTACAAAAATGGTGCCAAAAACAATCTGTTTCTTACATATAGCCGAAAAAAAAAAAACAAAGACATAGTAACAATAAGGTGAGAAAGTTATTACAACTACTTCATGTTCACTTTGAATAGTCTGGTTTCTTAATTTGTCAAACTGTCGTTACTAATCCAATTTAATTATGAACCAGGAATCACACAAAGACATATTTGTTAGGAGCAGTGAGTAGATCAAGCTATGGCTCGAGGAAGAATATACGTTCTTTGAAAACATGTGTTTTGGACTAAGATGAGGCTATTCTTGAAACAGATAAATGACCCGCTTTTCGACTTTTGGGCTTGTACATTTGCTCCTGTGTTCATTTGAAGTCTATGTCATTGAGGAAAAACTTCATTAGACTAAACTTCATTACAAAATATGTACAGCTGCTTACATATAGAGAGTAAGGCTGAGTTTGTCTACTTCAATTTATGAATTTGCAGCAGCAAACTAACAGAGTTCTCCAGATTATCTCAGCTTTGCAAGACAAATTCGGAGTTTGCTTCAACGTGCATGCATGGCTTCCTGTAATGAAAGTTAGCTTGGTGTGCATTCCAGATTTTAGGATTTTCTTTCTTGTTATATGATTTTATGTGATATAAGAAATATTGTTGTGATTAATAACTCTTATCTATTGATTATTTTCTTTTTGTAGAACCACAAAATCTGTGAGTAAATTGTATATGTTATTTCTTTTTAATATGATTGGATGCCAAAAAGAAAAAAAGTTAAATTAAATTGGAATCAGAACATTTGGCCCCAAAGAATTGGAATTTAGCTCTTTGATTCATTGATTTTTTTTTTCATCTTCTTTGATTTATTTAAACTTTTAAAAATTATATATTTTGTTCTAAAATAAATAAAAAAATTATAAGTTTTATAAATAACAAAATAATAGAAATGACACATTAGCAAAAATAATCTTCATAGGGCACGAATGTCAAGAGGTATTTTTGAATTACAAATTTTCAAAATTTTAAATTTTTTTACTAAAATAATTAAATAACTACTTAACAGTAATTTTATTTTATTTTTGTTCTACACTATTTTCTTATATTTTTTATAATATTTATTTTTCAAATTCATGCTAATGACTTATAATGTGCATTTCGGGGGAGTTTTAATATATTAAGTTCCTGGGTAAATTCTGATAAGGCAGATTGAGATTGTAGATAAGACACTACCCAAAGATTTCGCCCTCATTTTGTGAGGACTATATGATCCGAGTTCTAGTTTCCTATGGGCGTAAGCCCCTATAGATAATTACCCCTTCTGATCGATAATGAGAGAAAACTTTCGTTTAAGGCTACTCAATTACTCATTAATCAGATACATAAAAACACATGCTATCTGGCATATAGTAGCATCACGGGTTTTTGTATTGAGAATTTCATATTTAAAATAGGCCTAATATAAACATATAAAATGAATGTCTCGGTCGACATCGTGACTGTACATTCATTTAAAAGTTTGAACTTTGTCGACTCCTATTACTTACGTAGGAGGGTCAGGTTCAAATTTAAATTTATTTATTGAACTGCGCAGCATCACTATATGTTACATATGTGAATACATCATGCTCGCCGGGGCCTATGCAGATGTATGATTAAACATATATTTTTTGATGTTTATGTATAGAAATTATAGTGTATGTGGGAGGCATTTTTATAAAATTTGATGTCGATCAGTTGTGCAGGTAATTGTCATTTGAGTGTACGCAACATCTCGTTTGAGAGCTTGTAGATGTCTTCTATTCGCTTGTATGTAGATTGTGGATCCGATGGCATTGCATAGCACTACAGTCATTTACCTATTTCATACAGATAGACTGTCGTGTACTACTTGTTGCTTTCCATAGGTAAATTATTGTACGCTAACGAGTCTCCTGGTAGTTATTTGTAGACAACTACATTCACATGATGCCTTTGTTTATGGTCATTACTTTGCATACAAATTTTCTAGCACAGAGCACAAGCATTTGTATTTGTAGTAATTATTCTGCATTTTGCTTGTGGTTGACACACCAGGCGTAAAACGAATCTTCTACGATAGCTCAATGTCATTTGCTATGTTGTAGTCCTTTAAAATTTTACGCGTAGATGACATTTCATGTATATAGCAGGTCTTCTACAATAGCTCGTAGGAATTCATATTTGATGTATTCACTTTGTATTTTGCTTGTGGATAATAGATTAGGTGGACAATAGATTGGGTGTACTATGATTGCTTGAATATGGCATATTCATTTGCCATTCACAGATCTATTACATGTATTATGCGTGATGGATCATCTATAGCCACTCATGGGCAAGTTGTAGCGTCTTTTATCATATATATACCTTCTTTAGTGCTCTTAGGTGGACGTAGTAGAGGTTGTCACATCTTCTTGCATGATTGTTGTGCTGACTATCATCAACTTCAGCTTTGCTATTCATAAGGCAGTGTTGCAAAACAGTTGTTTTATTTGTTAAATGCCATTGATTTTACCTTATTGAGTGTATTCATAAGATAATTGTCACTGTTATTGTCTGCAAGTGAATTGCATGTTCATCTGTATATTAACACTAATCACCGAGTTAGTTGCATTCATTGCCGATTTCTCTTTGCATATTGACTGATGAGTGACTGCATCTGTCATCAAATTCCTTATGCACGTTGATCAGTGTTGGTTGTAGAATAAGAGAGTATCATTATTTCCAGACAGGCTAGCATGCTTGTTTGGAGATGAATGGCATTGACCATCTGCAAGCTTCACATACTTCGAATTTTATTGAATCCATCAAATTATTGTGTTCATTGTGAATTGACTTCCTTTGTCTACAATGGGGTTAATAGGCTTGCTTGCATACCGATTGGCATTAACTGTAGAAGGATTATATGTCATTTTGAACTTGATATTTCTTTGGTAGATTAATGTATTCATCTAAAAATCCTTCCTTCTTCGTTGTTTTATTTTTCTTTGAGTTGAACTATTGTTGGTGATAGGGACGCCATTACATTTTTTTCATGCTCACTTATTTTGCAAATCTGTTTAATCTAACAAATCCTTCTATTACAAGTCCTTGCACTCACTTTGAGTTGTATTTGCTTGCATGAAGTTCATTTGAATGCAATCATTTTAAGCCAATTATGTTGAAGTCCACCAGTCCTTTATTTGATTGTTGATGCTCATTAAAATGATTTAGGTCTTTAATTAGCACTTGTATTGATCTAATTGTGTGTTTGCTAAGTCCAATTCTCTGTGGTCTCTTGAAGTTCAAATCTTTTTGTACTTCATTCAAGTCCTCTGTTATCTTGTTAAGTTCAAGTATTGTCCCATGTATTTTGTTCAAGTGCAAGTGATTATTGAAATTATTCTGTTCAATTTTGCAAGGTCCTATTGTTCACTTGAGTTCAAGTTTCAAGTTAAGTAAAAAAAAAATTGTAGTTCATTTAAGTTTAAGTTCTTGTCCCTTGTAATTGTCCAAGTCTTGTGCATTTTTAGATAAAATTTCGGCCGCCTCTTAACGTCTTTACAGTGTAGGGTAAACTACAGAAGTCTTAACATGACGAACATGTTAAGAAAGACGTGCACGGTCGGTGTCGGGAGACACCGCGACCGTAGTCTTCAACCCCACCACTCCAAGAAAGGCATGCATGGGTCTTCAAAAATACATGTTTGAAAGTGTAATTTTTCCCGCATGCGAATACTTATATTTTTTCCCCGTTGTGATAAGAAAAGAGCGCACAAGGCTCACCTATCTCGCTGTAAGCGCCGCACCGAGTTCCCCCCACCACGCTAAGAAATGCGTGCATATGGGATCCCTCAATGCGCTGCTAACACCAAAATCAAGACTTTAGATGATTGTCAACCTCATTGCATGCACTGCAATGAACTTCCTCTCACCGTGCAAAGAAAAGCACTAATGGGTGGTTGTTCACCGCACTCTAAGCATCGAGGATGGGTTTTCAAAGTTTTGGAGTTTTATAATTGCGCGGAGGGGCGTCGGTGAAGATAAAAATGCAAATCTCTCTCTCTTTTTATTTTCTCCTCTTTTTTTGTATTTTCATTTTCTTCTTTCTTTTTTTTTTTTACATTTTCTTTCTTTTTTCGGAAACCTCATTTTTTTACATGTACACATATATATAAAAAAGATATAAATATACATTAGGGGCGTCAGTGAAGATAAAAATGCAAATCTCTTTCTCTTTTTATTTTCTCCTCTTTTTTTGTATTTTCATTTTCTTCTTTTTTTATAAACTTTTTTCTTTCTGAAACCACATTTTTTTTACATGTATAAATATATAAAAAAAATATAAATATACATACTCATGTATATATATAAATTATTAACAACTAATATTAATAAGCATATTATTAATAACCATAATTAATATTAACATTAAAAAATCAAACATAATCACTACCTCTGTGAGGGAAATTATTAGGTCCGGAGAGCGTATACATCTTACCATCCAGAGACCAATAAGATGCATCCACATTATCGAGTACCGTGTAGTACTGAGCTCGGTTCTGAGTAGTACCGAACAGTACTGAGCTAGACTAAGGCTTCATTTCTTAGGAGCCGTGAGCAGATCAAGTTATGGCCCGAGGAAGCATATACATTCTTTGAAAATATATGCTTTTGGACTACGATGGGGCTATTATTGAAATAGAAAAATGATCTGCTTTTCTATTTTTGGGCTTCTACATTTGCACCTGTGTTTATTTGAAGTCTATCTCATTGAGGAAAAACTTCATTAGACTAAAGTAACTAAGCTAGACTAAGGCTTCGTTTGGGACGGCTTTTTCACTGCTTTCTAAAACGGAGTTTTAGTACAAATTTTTTTATTTTTGTACTAAAACTCCGTTTTAGAAAGCAATAAAAAAGCTGTCCCAAACGAAGCCTAAGGCTTCGTTTGAAACGGCTTTCTTAGTGCTTCTTAAAGCAGTTTTTTAGAATAAATTTATTTTTCGTACTACAAAGCTGATTTAAGATTTGCCAGCCCGCATTTTTTGCCTAGGGCACGCGATGAACGGTGATCAAGCGAAGAAGAAGCAACGAAGGAGAACCGGGATTCATACCTGCACGAGAGAAGAAGAAGCGACAAAGCTTGGCCAAAGCTATTCACGCGGGAAAATCGACTGGGTTCGGGGAGAGGGGTTTGACGGTCGGGGCTAACGGAGTGGTATAGCGAATGGTTAGAATGAGAAAGCGGTG